GAGGCAGAGGCAGGCGGATCTCTGTGAGTTCGAGGCCAGCCTGGGCTACCAAGTGAGTTCCAGGAAAGGCGCAAAGCTATACAGAGAAACCCTGTTCGAAAAACAAAACAAAAATAAAAAACAAAAAACAAACAAACAAACAAAAAAAGCAAGTCAGTAAGTAGCACTCCCCCATGACCTCTGCATCAGCTCCTACTTCCAGGTTCCTGCCCTGTTAGACTTCCTGGCCTGACTTCCTTCAATAATGGACAGTGAAATGGAAATGCAGGCTGAAGCACAAGTCTAATTAGTCTTAACAATAAGAATCCAGAGTCACATATCGAGGGTGAAAGCTGAATGATCAGAGAAGCAGAGCAACCAGCCACCAGAAACTTCTTACCTCTACAAAATCTCAGACTGAGTAGGGCATCCTGTCTCCCTGAATCCTCTAACTGAATGAATTGAGATCCTGTCTCCACCCACTTTATATTTCTGTTTCCACCTCCCTAGTGCTGGGATTAAAGGTGTGAGCCTCCCATGTGCTGGGATCAAAGGCTTGATCCTCCCAAGTGCTGGATTCAAAGGCTTGAGATTAAAGTGCTGGGATTAAAAATGTATGCTACCACTGCCTGGCCTCTATGGTTAACTAGTGGCTAGCTCTGCCCTCTGATCTCCAGGCAAGTTTTATTTGTCAGAACATAAACAAAATATACAACAGTAAGCCAAATAAACCATTTCCCCCACCCCAGGTTGCTCTGGTTATGTTGTTTCATCACAGAAATAGTAATAATAACCCTAACTAAGACAATGGTGAAAGTGGTGTTTTATATTCCAACTCAGGAGAGGGGTGGGGGCTAGTATGTGAATCCATGGCCTTATATGTATATTAGACAAGCACAACATTTTTTTGGTGTATGTCTATGTGTTTAACAATTATTGGGGTGAGGGATTTATGATTTGTGTCTATGGGATATAACAGGATGGTGCATCAAGAGTATAGGGAAGAATTTCAAGTAGAAAACAACGTCTAAATCTGGAGCAGGCTATCTAATGGTGACTTGTAAATTATGGTTGTTTCTGGGAACGGATTGAAGAGGAAAGGATCAATAATATGAAAGAAAATCGTGCACTGGAAATTCAAATGTTGGACTGATGACAAGCAGAAACTCTCCCTTGGTTTTAGTTATAGTCTATAACCATCTTCCTATCTTTTATAGCAATAGATGATGTACTAAATAAAGTAGGTAGCATTTCATAAACACCGGCAACATCTTACATTCTATACTTCACTTGAGTGCCTTTCAGATTCCATTGCTTTTCTAAGAACAGAGGCTTTGTACAATTACCAAATGTGACCCCACGGACAACTTTTTTTCAGTCTGTGGTAGAAGCTGGAAATCATAACTACAGAATGTATCCATTTGCTATACGATAAAACATAATCAGGTGGATAGCATTTCTTTGGAATGCTCTTTTCCAAATAAGGCATTGCTTGGGGACTGGTAAGATGAAATAGTACCTGATGGCCTGAATTCAAACCCTAGGACCCAAATGAGAGGAGAGAGAGCAGACTCCCTTCCAGAAGTTGTCCTTTGACATCCATGTATGTTCCACACACCATTACAAAATACAAAATTAAACCATAATAATTTTAAAGGCCTTGTTAGAAGACAGTCTTGGCTTTTTTTTGGCTCATTATTTTTCTGCCTCAAAAGGGCACTTGAGGGTTGAAGTTACAGCAGCCATCTTTGTCTTGGGAAAAATGTAGTTGAGATAAAGGCCTGTGGGTGGAGAACATAAAAAATGCAGGTTGATGGCACAGTTAAGTTGCCACATAATCTTGTACCCAGCCCTAGGTTTCCTTTATGAAGCAATGAACCCTTATTGACCTTTTTTTATTTTTTTAAATTTATTTTTTATTTTATTTTATTTTTTTAGACAGGGTCTTGCCATGTATCCCTGATGGCCTTGAACTCAGAGAGCTACACTTGCCTCTAGCCTAAATCATTTTTATAATGCTGTTCTTCACAGCAGCATGTCATCAACATAAGACCTGGTACAATGTTTTACTTTTATTTTGCTTTGAGTTTTTGAATCTAGCAGAGGCCTTATATATACTGAACATTTGAAATCATGCTAGCTACATTTCAAGTGCTCTTTGGAAGCTCTGGCCAGTACCCCGATAAAGCTTGTTTGGGAATCAGAGGACAAAGCCAGCCACTAAATTAGACATAGAGGTCAGACAGTGGTGGCACACACCTTGAATCCTAACATTCAAGAAGAAGAGATCCATCCGGATCTCTGTGAGTTCAAGAGCACACAGGATGGAACCAGAGCTAGGCGTGGTGGCACACACCTTTAATCCCAGCACAGAAAGGTATTTAAGATGAAGAATCTGCATGCAGTTATCAGGGTGCAGTAGATTGCTTACAGTCCCAGCTGCCAGGAGGCTGGCATAGGAGGACCACTGTGCCTAGGAATTGGAGTCTAACCTGGGGAGCATAAGAAGATCCTCATCTCAGAACAAAATAAAAATGAAAACAAATAATATGTCCAAAGTGTTGAGGAAGTTCCAGACAGGTTTCTGTGTTCTATAGCCTTTCATTTTTCAATGGGTGAATTGGTCGGTACTTTCCATAGGCAGGGTGGTACATGTTTCTAGTTATAAAACACCAAGTCCCTTTGATACACACTGTATCTATGCACAGCGGTGTGTGAAGAAAGCGCAAGTGTCATGGGTGGTGCACCAAGTGCAGGTTTATTTCATCAGACATGTTTCTTCCTGATCATTCCCTCAGAACAAATAAGATCCGAAAATACTTTTTATGTTCTTTAACTGAAATTCACAATACTTTCTTTGTCAGCTAGTTTTGCCACTAAAGTAACTCCATAACGCTACAAAGTTGTCTACTATGTTTAGAAGCATAAAAATATAGTAAAATATAATAACCCTAGTATGTGGGGGTAGGTAGACTTGTTTGTGAATGTTGCAAAAGAGGGTAATACTGGGACAGAAAACATCAGACTGCACAGGATTTATTTCTTATACTTTTAATTACATTGGTGGAAATTTTCTATATATTCACATGTTTTTTTCTTGAGAGTTTTGATTTTATGTTGTCTGTTTATTGAATCCTGTGTGTCATTATACTGCCTGAATATTGCATTGATTAGTAAGTGGGCAGAAACTGACAAGACTTAGACATTCTTATTAGTTTTATTCTCAACTGGAACAGTACTTTACCACTGAAGAGTTAAAGAGAAAAACAAGTATAATTGTTACCGTCAGTGTGTGAGAGGACAGTTTTTTAAATCAAAACAAGGAAAAAACAAAAGCTGTTTTCTAATCCTTACTGCGCAGTAGTTGAGCACACCTGGTGTTTGGTTGGAACTTTCACGGCAGTGGCCTAGCTGTAGAGCTGTCAGATTTGAGTGTGGTGGGCCTTTGTTGGGAGCAAGGCAGGAAGGTCCTCGAGTCCACAGATCTCCAGAGAAACCAGGAATGTTACGCACACAAAATTGTCTTTCCAGTGGGAAAGATGAAAAACCGTTCTTCCATCTAGAAAGCGGAGAATTGGAAGTGACTAACAACCTGTTGGACCAGGCCATATCAAGCTCTTACAACCAAGATGGGAGGTGGCTAGTAACCTAAATGACTCTTATAGCCAGAGGCTCCCCCAAGCACCCACAGCCAGAGCCAGAGGTGGCTCATAGCTCAAATGACCAAGGCCAGGCCAGACCCTTAGGCCCTTAAGCTGGTACAGGTAGCTGTTCTCTAGAACCCATCTTCTTGGAAGAAATGACAGGTACCCTGAGTTGAGTTTTCATGTAATTACTCTTCCTTGTGCGATGGGGATTGTATTACACTAGGAATTTTTCCAAATTGTGCTGGGCTTCAATACACCGGGACTAAACAGCCTTTTATGCGACTCCCCAAAGTCTGATCCAGGCTGACAAAGTTAATCTGCACCAGGTTTTTATTCTTATCTTTTCATGTGTTTTGCTTCTCTGCATGACACCTGCAGGGACCCCCTCAGCTTTCACTGCTTACAATACATCAAGCAACTATTCATAATTTATGCTTCTTGAAGCACAATATTGGCTTGAAACGGTTTCTTCAGGATAGACAATTATTGGTAATGTTTACCTGAGTAGAATGTGACAGAAAGGCCTGGCTGATGTCCATGTTATTGAAGAAATACTTTTTCTAAGCCAGCCTCACTCTTGAAGATTTACTAATTTTTCCTAACCTGTAGTTTTAAGGATAATTATGGAGTTTGTAACTTGGCAAACTCCCTCCAAGTACAGTGATGCAGATGTGAAAGGGGCCCTTAGATGCTCCCAGGAAGCATGACAAAGATGACCATGAATGAAGTGACAGAGCATTTTGCATTGTTTTGACCGTGTGAAGACAAGGGCATTGCCTCGCATCTCACACCCTCAGACCAGGGAATAGGTTCACCAGGTTACATGGTCTGTGCTGTGCCTTGGCTGGCAATATTTACCTTGTGAATTTTGTGGTTTATACCATTTTGAAAATTGGGGTTTCTGGGTTTCCCTAGAGCAGCACACATTTAAGCTTTTAATGTCGTTTGGTATCACTGTGTATTAAAACCCATGTCCATTTTATTTGATTTTTTTTTTTGCAGGATGGTGAGGTGGATGCAGAAGAACTTCAGAGATGCTTGACACAGTCTGGAATTAGCGGGACTTATGCTCGTGAGACCATGTGTTGTTTTGTTTTCCCTTCCTTGTGGCACAGGGGATTAGAATAGGGAATTCATTTCCAGCATTTTAGTCACACACCAAAAATATTAAAAATATTATGAACTATATGTAGATATGCCAAGTCTGAGGAATCAGATAGTTCTGTACGAGGTATCATGAAAATAACTGTTCATTTGCGCTCCTGACTTTCAGCATTCACTACTCAGGAGTTAATTGGTTGTAAGTGACTAGTCTCAAAATTTGCTTACAGACCTCAAAGTGACATAATTTTACTACTATGTAGTTGCAGCTTTGTGATTATCAATTGATGTCCTGCTATGAAAAAATGAGTATTTAACTGTCTTCCAACTGTAAAACCACTCCATCCCTCCATGTGAAAAATTTCCATCCTTTGTCCTGCTGATGGATTATAATTTGGGAACCATCGTCAGCACTTACCTCTCTCTACTGTCTGCATATTGCTTATAGTTGTGTCTTATGACAGTGTACGATTACTTTGTGTATGTGTGTGTGTGTAGCTTTTTGTTTTCCCCCAAATTCACAGTGGCTAGTGTATTGTGGGGGTCCAGTAAAGAAACTGCTGAAATGAAATGGCTGCTCCATTAGGGGGAGATGTTTTTTGTTTTTTGTTTTTTTTCAAGACTGGGTTTCTCTGTGTAGTTTTGGTGCCTGTCCTGGATCTCGCTCTGTAGACCAGGCTTGCCTCAAACTCACAGAAATCTTTCCGGCTCTGCCTCCTGAGTGCTGGGATTAAAGGTGTGTGCCATCACCACCCTGCAAGGGGATGATTTTTATTGTGGATAAGAGAGAGAAAATATCCAGAGGCATCTGGAAGAGTCCAGAGCAGAGAGAAAAAAAAAGACACTGGATATGGCCCTGGGCCGTGTGCAAGAGAAGGAAGAATGAAAAGGAATAGAGAGAGGGGGACTAGTACAGAGTAGCGGGGTGGGGGTGGGGTAAGGGTTTGAGGGGCTGGAGGATGGTAGTGGAGATATCAGAATGGGGTGGGGAGGAGGAAAAATTTTGTCCTTATGTAGAGAACAGATGGGTGTCTGGGAGGAGGGAAGCCTGGGGAGGTGAGAAGGGCCAGAATGCTAGTGTGGGGCCCTAGGCAGGTGCAACAGGTACTTGTGGATAGGCCCTGTAGGTGCCTGGAGGCTAGTGTGCGCTTTGGTAGCAACCACAGGAATATGTCCATGGAGAGCCATATGTTCCTGCTGCCAGAGACAAGGGAAATAACTCCTTTTGGCAGATGGGAACCTGTTTTAAAATTTCCCGAGACATGCTGCTTTTTATCTAACGACCGGAAATCCTTCTATAGTCCAGCTTGAGCTAAGCCAAGATTGCCATTTCTGGACATATGCACTGCCTTTTGGAGTTTGGGAAATTGTGTTTGGTTTAAACCTGACAGCTAGGTATTGCATCCCTCTGGTTGTCCCAAGGCCTCCTTGTACGTTCTGTGTTTTATGGGTGGTCTCAGCCTCTCGCCACCATTCTGCAACTCGTTCTCACTCTGGAGTCGCATCTCTTGTTTTTATTCTATCTCTGTTGTCTAATATTTTCAAGCTCAATCTGTTTTTCCGTGGAGATATTTCATTAAGTAGCTTCTGATGAAAGAGTACATGGTTTACCATCAAATTTTGAGAATTTAAGTGTCTGAAAAGGCTTTCATTTTGTCTCAGTCGTTTGAATGGCTGCTTCTCAAGGTGTGGCATCCACCTACACAGTGGCGGGGAAAGGGTCTGGGGGCTTTAAATGCTCCTGCCTGACATCGCCGCCATTGTTCTTCTTGTTGCTGCTTTCACGCACATTTTCAGAAGGACTTCCGGTCTCCTCTGCCATCATCTCTGTCTCTTTCTCACCTATGGTGAGATTTGTTTTTCCTCTCTGGAAGCTCAGGGATCATTCTGTCCCTCACAGGCCCCTGCTGCTCTGACATTTCACAGTGTAGTGCCTTGTGGTCTTGCATGGGGAACTGTGTGGGTGTGTTCAGTCTGGAATCTCTTGTACTTTTTTGTTCTGGGAAATTTTCTTCAGTTGTGTTTCCTGGGGCTGAGTCGTCTGTTCTCCTTATTCTGGAATGTCCTCAGCTTTCTTTTATAAACCTTCTGTGTCTTTCCTTTCTGGTGTATGTTTTGTAAGAGCTAAGAGCCTCTGTTCTTCACAAATGTTATGCTTTCCATTATCTCTCGGAAACTATTGATATGCCAATGTGTAGCCGTTCCTTCCTCAACATTATTTTTATTCTTCTAGCTTATTTGGTTATCTTCCTTGTCATTTCTTGGGTGTCTGATGATGCTTTGTTGCTCATATCTCATGCTGATGCTGAGTCTGGTTGACTGTGGGCTTCATTGGAAGGTGAAGCTGGGCAGTTTCACTGTGGGATTCAGGGGTCACTGTTATGGGAGATTTCCTTTGTTTACTTTTGGGCTGCCTTTTCTGTGGTTGTTTCAGAGTTCTCAGGTCTGTGCAGACTTGTAGTTAATTGGCTTGTTTTTAGTATAACTCATCCCATTGTGCCTAGTGCCCTACAGTTCAGAGACATCCCCAGAAAGTGAAACTCCTGCTGGGTGAGAGAGTAGGTGTGACAGCCACCCAACTAAATAGAGGTAGAGAGGGGTTGGGTCTTCACGTGCCCTTAAAATAGCCCTTCACTCAGTTCTGTTTTTAGGTCCACCTTCACACATGTTCAGAAGTTGCCAATTCTTAGATATCTGGCATCTTTCCCAAGGTAACTAGGTTGTTTCTCAGCATTTCTCTTTATGCATATACATTAAATAGCCACATCTCTTCACTTTCTAACTTGCAATGTATATTTATTATTTTTCTCTTTTCCTCTAGGGGCTTAAATCTTCAACAAACAAACAAACAAACAAAATCTGTCCACTGCAGTGGGTTGTGAGGAAGAAGTAAAATCTGCAAGAGTCTGTCTCTTCACTCTATAAAAACATTTAATCTTTAAATACCTAGTCCCATCCTAAGGTCAAAGATATGCTTATTTGTTGATTTAATTTTTAATTTTTGCTTAAATCTGGTTAGACTATCCCACTTCCTAAATGTGAACTAAGTTAAATTGATAAAAAGATGGCCTACTACAGATTTTTTTCTCATGTAGTTCTTTTTATGGAGGAACGTTAGGCCCCAGTATTGGTGGTCCTACCTACTACCTTTATGAACTTAGAAAACCATTTGTCTTGGCTCAAATTTCTTTATTTGTAAAATTAGAACTGTTATACATTTGATTCATTTGTGTTAAATCATGTAACCCACTGTAATGGTTAGTCTTCATCACAAACATGACTGGATTTGGGGTCACCTAGGACACACATCACCCCGTGAGTTTATCAGGGCATTTATAGGAAGACTCACCCTGAGTGTGTATGATACCACCTCAGGTCCAGAGTCGGAGCAAAAAGGAGAAAAGGAGAAAGCATTCATTTCTCTTTGCTTCTGACTGTAGACAAAATGTAACCAGGCACCACATGCTCCATTCTTTGGGTATTTTGTATAACAATGACAAAGTAATACACCCACACTTCAGTACCAGTAAGCACTCACAGAGGGTCTGTTGAGTGCTGTTCCTAGAACACCATAACCAACAACCCCGGCCCTGACACCATCCAGAACAGCTAAAGAACATCAGCTTTTGTTCTTAGCAGAAGATTCTACAATTTTTCTTTAGGTTATTTTGAAATTTATCTCATTGAACTGGTTTAAAGGATTTCAAAATGTTATCAAGTAAGCAGTATAAAATAAAATGAATCTAAATTATTTATTCTCTCTTTAATATCAAGGAACTAAAGGAATCTTGTAAGCTTACCTGAGTTTTGCTAGCATACTCCCAGTTTAGATAAATCAGCCCAACTGTAACTGTAATAAAGTTTGGGAAAACTGAACTTTTTTTCTAGTGACTTCATTGTAAATAAATATGTAATGTTAATGTTTTTTAGCAACCCAATTATTTTTAATTATTCCTTTTATTTATAATATAATTACATATGTTCCAGCTTCTTTTTTCTCCCTCCAAGTCTTCCCATGTACCCCATCCTTGTTCTGTCTTTCAAATCCATGGCCTTTGTTTTTCATTAATTGTGTTACTGAGATATATATGTGTGTGTGTGTGTATATGTGTGTGTGTATACATATGTGTATATATATATACACACACACACACACACATATATATATATACATATATATATTCTTAAATACATAAATATACCCTTCTCAGTCTGTACAAGTTGCTTGTGTGTAGGTGTTCAGGGCTGACCATTTGTACTGGATAACTATCTGGTGTGTTCTTCCCATGGGAAGACTGCACCTCCTGCTCTCTGCACTCTCAGTTGCCTGTAGCTCAGCTCAGGGACCATTGTGGAAAAATGGGGGAAGGTTAGTAGGAGCCAGAGGACCGGGGAATTTGCTGTGAGACTGTGTCTCCAAGGAATGTCAGACGCTCCCTCCAGAACCCCTCTCCTAAGACTGCTTGTGTTCATCTTCCTTTCTCCCCTTTCTTAAAAGAAAACATTGCATCAGTTCCGAGGCTCATCCTTCTCAGCAGATCTCTTTACTAAGCCGTCACACGGATCACCTATACCCCCAACCTCTTTTCACCTCGAGTCTTTCCTTGTAAACTAGAGTTCAAGTCGAGGGGGTGTTGCACTTTCTTTTCTGCTCAATCACTCTAGGGATGTTCACTGGTCTAATATGTAACATGTAGGAATTTCTGATTTGACCCTTCTTTGCCTTTCTTATGACCCCCTCACATGGTTTCTAAGTCCTGAACATTTTCTGACTTCTGAGTACATAGCAGATATCCAGGTAAACTTCCCTCTCTTTGTCTCTGGTGATTAGGAGACTGAAACCGGCTTTCTGCCAGACTCCTGGCAAAGCCAATGCCTGTAAAGTGTTCATCACAGTAACTTTAGGCTACTCCATAACTGCTTACCTGGTTACTGACTTCAATAAGTGTGAGTAGTTTGGAGACAGTCATTTTTAAATATTTTTTTTGTTATTCTAAATGCTTAACAGCCAATAAATATGTATTGATTATAGTGACTTTACATTGTTTGTAATTTTAAAATATTTTTTGAAAGTGAAGAATATACTAATGTTACATAGATAAAATAGAGAAGAGTCTAATATTTGAATACTGAATATGTTTTTCAGCCTTCAGTCTGGAAACCTGCAGAATTATGATTGCCATGTTGGATGTATCCTTGAATAAAAATAGAAAATACCAAAATATAGAGTTATTGCTTTCTTAATGTTAAACCAGTTGTTAATTTTAGAACTAACTGTATTTTGTAAGATCCTGTTTAAAGTCTACATAGTTTCATTCTCACATAGAAATCTATTCTTAGACTGGGTCTTCCTAGCTAACTACACAAGAATATGTTCTTTTTGGTTAGTAATTTGGGGTATAGGATCAGATAAATCCTCTCAGCTACCAAAACTTATTTTCGTTAATAAGACTATTAGAGAGACTATACAGGAAAAATGGGATTCAACGAATTCAAGGAGCTATGGGCAGCTCTTAGTGCCTGGAAGCAGAACTTCATGACAATTGATCAAGACCAAAGCGGTACTGTAGAACATCATGAGCTGAGTCAAGCCATCACTCTAATGGGTAAGACTATTAACATCCTTTAGAATCCAGGAGGATCAGCTGTACTCATTGACCAAGTTATGAATTTTTTTTATATTTATAAAGATTTGTTTATTATTTTCTATGAGCTTGAATGTTTGCCTGCAAATATGTGTGTGTACCATGTGTGTGCTTGTTGCTCTAGGAGCCCAGAAGAGAGTGTTAGATTCCCTGGAACTGGAGTTACTCAAGGTTGTGAGCTACCATGTGCATGCTAGTAACAGAACCTAGTTCCTCTTGCAAGAGCAGAAAGTGTTCTTAACCACTGAGTGATCTTTTCAGCTTACAAATTATGAATCTTGTTTGTTTTAATTTGCTAAGTAATACAGAACTGTTTTCTGTTAGTGTGTCCCTTAATTTAGGCTCACAGTTATAAGTAAATCCTGATCAAAGACACTAACACAATCATTATTATTATTTCTTCACTTTGTTTGTTGTAGTGTTGAAGACTGAATCTTCAGTCTTGCATATTTGAGACCATCATTGTACCACTGAGCCCTATCTCCAGTCCATAAATTTGTTTGAGATTTCTTACAAAGACAATCATTCATTCATTCTGAATGCCCTGAGTATAATTATCATCTCTAATGTCAGCACCCACCACCTGCATTCCACTGTTCTGTAACTTGGTGGATGCTTTAATTATTCATGAAAGGCTTATCTCAGTCAATCACATGTGTCTCTACTGGAGTCCAGCTTTTCAACAGAAAAAATAATTTGTTTGGTTTGCCGTCTTTGTTCTTACAAAGTATAGAACACACAAGGCAGGTACAGAAAAACTTTAAAGTGGGAAGATTGCATTTCAGATGCGTTTAAAAGATGTAACTATTTTCGTTGTACTTCTTATAGGCTAAGGTTCTTGGTTCTCTTGCAGAGTGGTAATATGCATGATACTTAATTTGCTAGCCAGTAACACAGTGGCACTTTCTCATCTTTTATTCCCCCTTTCTTCTCTCTCTCTCTCTCTCTCTCTCTCTCTCTCTCTCTCTATATATATATATATATATATATATATATATATATATATATATTTTTTTTTAGACAGGTTTTTTACTGTGCTCACTCTGTAACCCAGGCAGATCTGGAACTTACTATGTAGCCCAGGCCTGCCTCAACTGAACTGAGACCCTTCTGCCTCGGTCTCCTGAGTTATAAGCGTGAGCCATACTTTACGTAGTTTTGCCTGGTTTTAAGTAGTTTTATTGAGTCTCTTCTCTTGTAATTTTATGCAGTTATTTATAAACAAAATGTATATACATGAAAATTACCTGTTTGAAAATTAAAATGTGAGCTCAAGGCACATGGGCTTAAATTATATGTCAGAGAGCTCAAACTAGTGATTTTTTTTCAAATTAGTTGTATAAGTAGACATTTTATTTTCAGATCTAGGGAAAATCCTGGCCATATAAACATGTTTAACTGTAGATACATAATAATAATTGATTTAACTTGACTTTTAACAGTGTAATTAAAAAAAAATAGTGTTGTTTTTTTTTTTTTTTTTTTTGTTTTCAAAAATTGAAAGGGTTCAGGCAAGCCTCAGAGAGGAAGAAAAGATTGTTTTGGGTGGGGCCTGCAAGAAGGCGGGTCAAGCGGGTCAAGCTGGGTGGTCTGAATTTGATTCCCACACCAAGGGTAGGAGAGGGCTGACTCCTGCCAAGTTGTCTTCTGACCTGCAGACACTTGCTGTGTCCTGTGTGCCCCTGAAACTGTAATCAAAGGTTTAAGTTACTCAGTAGCATTCAAACTTAACACCTTCTGATACCTTTAAAGTCATTCAAGTCATGGGAAAGTGTTAGGAATTCTATTCATACCACATGTAGATCACAACTCACTAGAAGAAGGGTGCTTAAATGCACTTTCACATAGTTGTGTTAGTTTGTGTGTTTTGGTGTGGCTCTTACTCTAAGCATGTTTTCTGGGACACACACACACACACACATACACACATGATCTCACATATATATGTATCATATATATGTATATGAAATCATATGTGAATGTTATATATATGATTCATTTTGTTTTGTAGTGTTGGGGATCAAACTAGGCAAGTGCCTTGGCCTTGGCCCCTAGCCCTGTGGGTTATATTTTATTATAACTATAGGTGGAGTTTTTCCTTCTGGTACTGATTTTTACCTTTGGCTGGATTGGTGTCATTTTATTTCTAAATCTACTGATTCATTAATATGCTGACCATAATGCATCATTCTCCTGAGTTATAGGTACACGTCTCATTAAATAATTAGGATCATGCTTGGAGTGTAGCAAATAGAATTAAAGTTCTGCTTCTATCATTTTATATTCATTCTTTTTAAACATATCGTTTTTTCAGATAAAATATTTTCAAATGAAAGCAATCAAGACGTCATAGGTAGAACTTAAAACTGACTCAAAGCACTTATCCTGGGAAGTGCGTGATCAGAAACTGTACATAGACAGGGTATACACTCAGCAATGTTAGTAACAATGGGGCTTGAAGAAGGAACTGATGAAGTAATAAATACGCATGAGGATAGAAAAACTTACAGAAGAAATAACATTTTCTACCACTTTTAAGCAGGTTGATTTTCAGATATTCTTTAGAAAAAAAACAGACAGAAATACAGCATTTGAAAGATAACTAACATTAATAATGATTCTTCCTTTGGTACTCTTTAAAAACTGCAATATCAAAATGTTAAAACCCCTACCAAATACCCCCAGGATTAATTTCAAAAAAAATATATATATGGCTTTTCAAGCCAGGGTTTCTCTGTGTAGCCCTGGCTGTCCTGGAACTCCCTCTGTAGACCAGGCTGGCCTCATACTCAAAACTCAGATATCTGCCTGCCTCTGCCTCCCTAGTGCTAGGATTAAAGGAATGTGCTACCATTGCCTGGCATAAAAATATATTTTAAATGCCAGAGAAGATAGTTGTTTTCTTCCTTTAGAATTGCTTTTGTTACAAAGTTAGAATTGTGTCAGCTATTTACACTTGGAGGAATTATTAATGAGTCTGTTGTCTTACCATTTTCATATTAATTTAATGGATTTTTAAATTATACTTTTGAAGGCTTTTGTTCAGTGGTAGAGTCCTTGCCTCTTTCCCCATGTATAAGCACTTATAGTCAATCTTCAGTCCTGCCAAAAATAAGTAGGATATATTTTGTGCAGAAAGAATTTTGAAAGTTAATCTATATCATGACTTTATTAATAGCAGTGTTTTGGCATTTTATGGTGTTTAATGTTGAAGGTTTTAATGTGTCAATCTTCTTCCTTAGGGTATAGATTGAGTCCTCAGACATTAGCTGCTATTGTTAAACGCTACAGCAAGAATGGCAGAATTTTCTTTGATGACTATGTTGCCTGCTGCGTGAAGCTTCGTGCCCTAACAGGTATTCAGCATTTAAAAGTGGATTCAATTTGTGTGGCCATTTTTCTTCAATAGTGTCTTTGTTTCTTTCAGCAAATTGTAACTGTTTTCTTTATTCACTATGATATCTAAATAGTCTTAAGGATTTAAAGTATGAATGTTGATAGAGAAGCATTGAAAGCTCAGAGTTTTAGAAGATTTTCATATTTAAATTTCTTAGAATGTTAAGACACTTAAGATACAGTCAGACCTAGTACCAGGAGACATTCAGTATTGGGAATTAATGGGTTTCCAATTATAATTCTGAAACATAATTTTTGTGTGTAAAGATTTCTTTAGGCGAAGAGATCACTTGCAGCAAGGGATTGTGAACTTCATGTATGAGGATGTAAGTATTCTGAGTTCACTGTAACATTTGTACTTTATTGTTGGTTATTGAAAACAGTAAGTGATGGGACCAGCAAGGTAGCTTAGCATTTGTCACCAATCAGATAACCTGAGTTCTAGTGCCAGGACCCATGTGGTAGAAAGAGAAAACATTCTCCTGAAAGTCGTCATCTGAGTTCCATGTATGCTTTATGGCATGAGGTCTTGAACATATATGCATGTGCGTGTGCGTGTGCGTTCCTTCCCCCACTAAATTAATTAGCAAATATATAAATGCAATAAAAGTTGAAAGACATTAACTGATTCAAAGCACAAAAACTGAAAATAATATTTTGGGTGGCTACATTATTTTCTATGTTTTTCAGTAATACTAATATAAGGTTAATATTGGTATACTGTAAAATTGCATGACTTGTGTTTGGTAGTTGATTTCTCAATATTTTAATGGTAAACACTAACTTATGATTATCTTTTCCTAAGAGAGAGATTCCTAATATTTTCAGTGACAAAATATGAAGCTGCTACTTTCTCAGTTCAAATACACTCTCCGTGTACCCAATTCCAGTTGTTTCTAGATTGAAGCTAATGGTTTTCATATGTGCTTTGGTGCTTTAGAGGTTATTGTCTTGGATTTGTTATATTTCTTACTAGAAGGTATGGGGTAGCCAATACTTGGTTGATACATGCGTGTTTGAATTATAAGTCTTAAACAGTTCCTTTTTCTTACAGTAAAAGTTCTCATGGAATATAGTTAATTTAAACAAACAAACAAACAAACAAAAAACATTTGTTGCCATGTGATAATGCTCCTCGTGTCTTAGTTTCTGCAGGGCACTATGACAATTTGAAAGCCTAGCATTCAAAAGGTGAAGAAATACTGAAGAATCCTTCTGCTTCGCCGAAACAGACTGGACTACCTAAAATTAAAAGTTCGAAGAACTTTTTCCTCTCCCTTCCTGTTCAAGTCCCTATTGCCATTTCTGTTATTTAACCTTAAAGCACAGTTCAATGCAATAACTTTTTTATTTGGGATACATTATTTTTGGAAAAGTTATGATATTGCAAATATATGGACACTGTCTTGAAGTGTTGCTAATGATATGTAGCTAATTGATATCCGCACATCTGAGCCTTGTTTTTTAACAATAATAGTGTATAAGAATGTAGTCACATGACAGATTGTCTACAAAGCCAAATAACAAAAGTCTAGATAAAACTTTTATATTATCTAAAGGCTACAAGTTATACTTCTGATTTTGTTCATGCCTGTGGGTGTTTCTGGGAATGAATCAGTCATAGGGGACATCTGCCCTTTTTGCTGTCTTTGGCTTTTGATTCCACCATCAGAGAACATAACCTCCTGTTCTTGGCTTATGAATAAGAAAACTTTCGTTCCTAAAACTTTATCCAAATTTGGGTCTGTCAGCCTATGGTAGTAGGTATTGTTTTACTTTTTTTATTTCACTGTTTATTTTTTTACAGTATATTTTATTATTTTCCTTTTTAAAAAATCTTTGATTTTGTTTAGCTTTGTTTTGTGAGATGAGATTTTAACTACATAGCACAGCAGCACACAAACTCATGGTCCTCCTGCCTCCCCCTCCATCCCCCATTGTGTGCAGAGATTCAAGGCTTGCACACCTGTGCCCACCTAAAAGTTTTAAAATGAAGATACCTTTCTCTTTCATTAGTGATGGTGTAGATAAGCTAAAATGTCCTCTTTCTCTAAATCAAGCAGTTTTGGAGAATGACACATTTTAGTGAAGTGTCAGCTTTCTCTCATGTTTGTTCTTTCTTATTCTTTCAACCCAGGTGCTGCTCCTAGCTGTTGGCCACAGTTAATTAATTAATTAAAAAAAAAAATCGTGTAATCTGCTACTTTTCAGAAGTTCTCTGTTGGATCGATAACACGTGTGTGTGTGTGTGTGTGTGTGTGTGTGTGTGTGTGTGTGTGTGGTGTGTACCAAGAAGTGTTTTGATTTTTTTTCCTTTGGAGACTCTATCAGCAGCATTTCTGGTGAATTTTCTATAGTGATTTCAAGTACTCACCAGGTTCCTTGCACTAAGTTCTCTGATATAAGATGTTAGAGTTAATTGAGTTTCCAACGTGGAAAACACCCTGTCTTTATTAATGAAGATCTGATAGACCACTGAATTTTCATATATTCTAACTGAACATATATTTAGTTGAAGAAAAATGCAAATAGATATAATTTTGGTTTAGCTAATGACCAAATTGAATATTTTTAAAGAAAACACCATGGGTTTTTTTTTTGTTGTTGTTGTTTTTTGTTATTTTTTGTTTTTTAACAGGCAAACCTCTTTTATAAATACAGAAATCTTACAAACAGCTTTTACTTGAAAAGATCCTGGAAAAGAAGTGATGTCCTTGATATTGATTACTCTATAGTTTGCCGTCAAATCCATTTTGTCAGTTTTATAAGACTTGGCTGATGAATACTCCACACACACTGTCCTCTGAATATTTGTTTCATGACCACATATTTGATAACCTGAAAGAGTATTTACTGAACCATTGAATGTACAGAATCTGAAGCTGTTGTAGGAAAAAGAAGCCACATTATGATACTATAAATTATTGAGTAATGAACACTCTTGATGTATAAGTGCTTTTATTTATACAGTAAACATGTTTCCATGTCATTTTGAGAATTTTTTAATAAACATTCAAATAGCTTGCTGTAAAGTTTTGTATCATACAAAATTTGTTACATATATACTGTTATGAGATGCGTCGGTTCAAACAACAGTGCATTAATTAATTCAGCTGTTATCTAAAAGATTGTCAAATGATTAAATGTCAGGTGTACTTCTAGTTTGAGTGGCAGTTTACACATTTTAAATTACATCAAGGGAAAATCGATACTATGGGAATCTTGATTTGGTCCACTTTAAATGTATTTTAAGGACTGTGCTCATTAACCTATTTGAGGCATGCATCAGAAAAAGAAAGTAACAAATATATATTCAAGTTATATATTTATTTCCAGAAAAGACATTTACCCTGGAAGAAAGTAGAATTTATCAAGGTAGTTTAAACTCTGTGCAAATAAAAAAATAACAAAATCAATTTGTGATATTTCTTTAATTAAAATATACAAATCAAGTTCACTTGTACTCTTATATTACTAATTGGACAAACAAAATAAATACTATTTATGAGAAATGTGCTTTTTTTTTTAATGTCCTTTATCTTTGACAAACAAAAGTGGATATGTTTTGTCCTGTTTTGTTAACAGCTTTCTGTAAATTTGATAGGGGTATGTTTTTGAAAATCTATAAATTGAACCCATTTCTCAGAATCCCAGACTGCTTTCAGTTAGCACATCCTTTGCTTAAAAGTGTAAAACACAACTGTGGCTCTTTTATTACTTTGGTACTTGCTTGAAAAGATTCCATTTGTTTTTTTTGAATGTAATCATTTATGTAGTGGGTTAAGCTTCTTCATATAAATTCCTAAGGCTAAGGTATCATCTAAAATATGTCTGGAGAGTATTGTGTACTATTGGAGGATACAAATGCAAATGTTTAACCGTCTGTGAGGTGGTGAATGCAGACAATATTTCAAAGGAATACCAGTCTTATCATTTCTCATTTAGACCAAGATCAAGACATCTCTCCATATACTAAATTAAAATTTCCTTGTAATTTAGAACATTGAGAAAGAAACTTTCTAGTGAAACACTTGGAGAACTTGGGGAACCCTTCAGACTCAAGACCTGTCTGTCATTTGAATGCTAGAAAACCCAGGCTTTGAATCCTTCTTGTTATGTTTCCTTCCACTTATTTTTAAAGAATTCTTTCCCATCTTACAATGAAAAAAGCATATGTTCTTATCAGTCCCTTTATCCAAGTAGCTTCATAATACATCGTGCAGTATGTTAAAACCCAGGCTTGCTTCTGCCAGTCCGAACCTACAGTGAGTAGACATACAGAGTGCTTCTGTCTCATGACCATGCACCACAATTAGAAAATATACAGACAGGGGTTTTTCCCACGTGCTGGTCTTGTTGTCGGGTGTGCCCCTTCATTAACATCAAGAAGTTATAGAACATCATTTAATAGCTACATGGAGAGATGTGTGAACCAGGAATGGTAGATTTCCAATTCTGATGTATTGGGGGTTGGATTTAACCTTTTTCTCTAAGCATAAACATCTAAATATGTAGACACATGCATATAACCATTTCGATTTAATTGTGTGTATTGCTTATTTAGTTGTCTTATTTTTCTGTGATTACTGAAATTGCAAAAGATAACCTGAACAGTGTTCTAGAAATATACTAATTAAAGACTCATGTTATTTTGTAAATTATAGGCCATTTAAAAATGACTTTAGAATTTACTGGACTTTTAAATGCATATTTAATTTCTTACAGTTGTGTAAATGCAGGACCCTCAAGTATGTCTTAAGATAAGAGATAATATGTTATGGAACGTTGCCAGGTATTTTGCCGTCTGTACTTTGACGCTGATCTCACAATCAGTTCCAGTTACAGAGGGCAATGTAATATTTCCTGCTGTCTGTAATAACTTTGGTTTTACATTTATCGCATGGGGCCATTGCTCTTGGCTTCTTAAATCTTAAAAAGGAAGCATGAGGAATCTATGTCACTGCACAGACAATGCCACCCTTAGTGCATGCTTTGTCAGCGCCCACAAATCTTGTTGAAAAGTGTCTTTGAAGATAGTGCGAATTTTCTTACATGACACCCAAGCAACCAGGGGGAGAAATTAAGCCTGTCTGAAACTTCAGCGAGAGGAAATAATAGCTGCATACTTCCATTCTTGAATGAAAAGATGAGCCAAGCTTTCATTATGAATGAGCTATTTTGAATGTATGTTAAAGGCCATTTATCCTTCAGAAAATTGTGGTGAACAATAAACATTTCAGCCATTTACTACCATGGTTCTGATGGGACAAAGTAAAATGTTTTTGAGTCCTTTAAATTAGGAGTTAATGCTTTCACCACTCAGCCCAGCTTGCTGGTGGTCTACTGGAACTCGGTAACACCATAGCACTGTTACAATGACGTGAATTTCGAATTGATCAGCACCACCATGCCTATATCTAGTACTGTACTTAACAAAACATTGGAATTTGTTGGCTTCGCTATTAAAAGTACACTAGCTAGCTAATAAGATTTACTTTCTTTTCCCCCAAAATAAATTCTTTTACAAATTCTTGAGTTTTTCATGTATAAATAGATGAGAAATTATGTTTCATTCTTAAATTAGGTATATATACTATATTTTCAATACAACTTGTATAGTTCTTTCAGCTACCAAAATTTTGCAACCATTTTTACATGAAATTTACATTTTTCTTATGTACAGTTATTTGTAGAAGGTTATTGCAAAACTAGCTGTGCAAATAGATTACACTGTCAACACCACATACCAACCTTTGAGGAAAATATTGGCTAAAAAATAAAGATTTCTGCACAGAATATTTCAAAAGCGTTGTGATTCCATGCTACATTATGTGCATAAAGACTATGAAGTAGTATGTGTTTGGTCGATTGTTTCCTGTAGTTTAAAGCATTCCAGAGTTCTGTGTAACAGGGTGTGAGTGAGCTTCCGGATATCAGATGACTGACATTTTCAAGTGATCACACACATTCTCTTCTGAAATACACTATTCATTGACTGGCAAGCCTTCTGGGATAATATATTTTCTCATCAGAATTATGAAATGAAAATTTCAGCTATAAAAAGGCCATCTGCCTTTCTTTAAAATCAGTGGGAGCCTCGGAGTAGAGACTTCTTGATATTTTTGTTGTGTTTTTGTGTCATTGGGAGAAGGGTGCCATGCCATTTCATTGCTACTGCAACTCTGTAAGCATTTGAGGAGATTGTGGGAAGAGCTCATCACAGCTTTACTGATCCTTCAATTTTCCTTCCAATTAGGGATAAGGAATGTGGTGTGGACTTTTCTTATGCATTCACATACAATATAAATAAAAATGAAAACTGATACAGTTAAAATGCTCACAGTTGTGGTTACTCACAATTGTGAGTTTTTAAATTGCATCATAACATACCAGAAGTCCAAAGAATGTGAGTTAAACATATAAAGCTTTGAAATCACAGGTGCCCCAAATTATTTCACATCTTTGAAAATATGTTAACTAATGGGAATCACAGATGACATGAATACAGTTCAGGAATTAATCTAAGTTTTGACATTAATTTAAAAAGAATAGCCATGTTCACATTTCTACGTCTCATAATAAAAAGATTTAATTGAGAACACTGTTGTAATAGTTCTTGCTGTGCATGTTTAAAAGTTTGATCATGGCTGGTAAAGTGATAGACCAGGACAACTGAGTATATAGTTTTGAATACATTCCATTTCTATTAATATTTTTATATTCATTTATAGTTATAATGTGGTAGTTTAAAATAACTTCCAATTAGTCATTTCTCAACTTTCATGTACTAGTTAACAAAATAATCTTTGTGATAGTTTCTTTTCTTGCTGTCAAATGTCAGTCTGTGTCTTCTATGCATTTTGTTTTTCTGTACTGGTCATTAAAACAAAGTATATTTTACCGAAATACATTATAGTCTCTATAATGACATCCTAAGCATGGGTGGACCTTGCCCAGTCATGGTGCCTAATATTTTATAAAGCATTGGAAATATATCCCATTAGTTTTTAAAAGGCTAACAACACCACTTTAAGAAGAGACACAAGTAAACAGATCTGAAAGAGAACATTTGGGGAATCAGGGAGAGATGGGGCAAAGATCTCAAACCGAGAAAACATCTGTATTGTGGATGCATCACTCTACAGGTGTTGGCTGAACACCTGGGTGCTGATGCAGAAGAGGTGGCCCCAACACAAACACTGTCTCCTGCTAACATCCTCATCATTGGCAGGGGCATGAAACCACTTTGTAGAATTCCGTTACATACTGAGTGTCAATGTGGAGAGTTGGGTGGAGGAAAAAATGATGGAACATGTTTTTACATGATCATCAATGTTATTACGCCACTTCCTGAACATTGCTTTGTGATGTGCAAACCACAGGATGGATTTGCTTCTTTACCTGGAGCATGGCTTCTGCACACTTCCACGTGGACATTTCAGAGAGCTATTTCAAAAAAAATCACTTGTATTTACATGATTTTGGATACTGAGGCTCACTTTGGGTTTTTTCCCCCACCCATACATGGAATAGGTAGGATTTGAGTTCAGCTTTACCACACCAAGCCTTTCCGCCATTTTCAGCGTTCCTCACGGAGAACTCTGGTGTTTGCCATCTATTGGCTGCATGTGTGCGGTGAGAGAAAGGAGTTGGGTGCCTGAAAAGTGCCGTTACCCCTGTGAAGTTCTGGGGTTTGTAAAAACAGCAATTGTGTTTACTTTCAGAATTGAATTGTATTTTGTAAATAGTTTCAGATAACCCATCTGGGAACTCTATCATGTCCAAGGAGACACTGCACAGTGGGTGCACTAGCTTTTATAGAATCCACCTTTACAGAAATTCACCTTGCAGAATTTAACACTAATTCAGAGCAACAGAGGGAGTCACATCCTCACCACCAATAGTCTCAATATTATTACTTGAAAGCTGTCGAGTTAATAGCACAAAATTAAGGGAAAGATTGAGCTACAGTTAAGTTTTTCAGAATCAAAAACTTCAGTCTTGGAAGCAGCTATTTGGTTACTTTGCACTTGTTCAAAAGAAAATTTTTTTCTTCCTAGTTGTTTTTAATGTCATGCTCCTGGCAGGGGGTCAGGGGTGCATTTTAGGATGTTTTTTTTAAGCACCTACTGTGTGCCAGGCACTTTTTTTAAAATTAGGTTTTGTTTCTCCTCAGACTTTAGTGAGGCAAGGACTATAATTTCATTTTTAAAGACTCTGGAGAAAACTCTCAGAAGGTAATTCACTCAGGGTGACATAGCATGTGAATGGAAGAGCTACTGTTAGGATCGAGTTGGCCTAACTACAGAACATGGTTTTTGGACCTCTGTGTTTTAGTGTGCATACAGACCATGTTAAGGAGAGCTCCTTGAAGGATCAGCGCTGGGTCCCAGCCTTCCTGTTTCTGATTTGGTAGATCCGGGATGAGACTCAGGACCATTTGTTTCTGAGTTCTTAGGTGATCTGAGCACTGCTAACCTCAGGACAACAGCTTAAGACCACTCCACAGCAACCTGTCCCCCAAGGGCCTCTTTGAATGTACAGGATTGACATTTATGTTTATGTTACTATACAACTGTGATTAAAAATGAGAAATCAACTCAATTTTTTGATCGAAAGGTTTTTAACATTGAATAAGAGGCCAATTAACATTGAGAACATGTTTTTTGGTTTTGTTTTACCCATGAATAAACAATATAGAGCCCCTTATATTAAATTATAGCCAGAGTTACAGTTCATTTCTAATTGATTTAATTTCCTGAATTGCTTTTTTTCCTGGCTATAAAACATGTTATTTCTTATTAGTTACTCTTTTATATATACTGAGGAGGTGATACATTTTTATCCTTGCCTATAATGTGTAAGTTGTGATTTGAAAATGACATTTGGATATAAATGTTTTTCTCTTAGGTATTTTGGAGCCATTGCACAGGTTCAAGCCCGTACAACCTTGAGTTCTAATATGCACATATTAACCCTGATTCCCAATGTCACTCTACCTGACTAGAGAAGAAAACTTAATTCTGACGGCCAGTCCATTATAATGGACTTGAAATTTACGTTGTCTCAGACTGGCTCCCTGCTTTGCCCTGTTTGTTGAATTAGTGATTATTATATTAAAAAGATCACTTCTGTATTTTTTATTCCTGGTTTTCTCATCAGCTAATTGAAGTATGGGACCCCCCGCTGGGATAAAGCGATGCGTCTGAGAGGCAATTTTCTGACCAGCAGTTAATAGCTGTAGGAGAGCAGCTCAGCCAAGTCAGATTTAAGACAGCAGTTTGTTTTTTACGGACATGGGACTAGATGATAATTTTACGTTGAAGCCGAAAGGTGTTGTGTCCGTGCTTCTAAGTCCCTCTAAGGAAAGCAGTTGCCGGACTGCCTTTTGGCTGGGGCAGTAGTTGGATGTGGCCTTAGGCAGGACCCCAAGTTGGAGGTGTCAGGTTGCTTTTGCTGTAAGTGATAGGTAGGGTAATGCAATTTTAAAGTTATTTTTAGGCTGGGACAAGGGGATGCACATTGTACATCAAGATGATTGATTTTCTTATTCATAAGTCAGTTAAACTGTCTGTTCACCTGACATTTATGACTATGTGTATGTTTATGTTGCTTGGGCACTTTAAAAAAATATATACTATAGGATAAAAAAGTCCCTTTATGTTCCTACACAACTCTCTCAGACTTACGATTTAAACAGCATACAATTATTTTATGTGGAGGAATTGAGAAGGGAAGGAGTTTTGATTGTCCTAGAATTTAAACTGGCTGGATGCTTGTATACCATCTTCCCTTTTCTGCATGCTAGGTTTTTATAAAGAAATATAAATGGAGGCTTCCAATAGACCAAATTGCATGCATGTCATACCAAATGCTGCAGCTGGAGCATCCACTAATCAGATCAAACAATCAGCCTCAGTTCCTCACCTGCCAAACCCTCTCTCCTTACAAATGAGCAATAGCTGGGAATTTATGCTGAATGCTTGTGGAGCTAAGGGAGAATAGTCCTCAGGAAATGTGTTGCAGCTGCAGAATGTGCCCCAATATGAAAAGAAGATCCCTAAATCCACACCACACCTAACTCATTCGCTACTTGCGTGACTCTCCAGTGTGTGGCACCTCATTCGAATGTTTGCTGAGTGAGTGAATGAAAGTGGCCAGGAGTCCACATTTGTATCTGTACCATATCAAATGATTTGGGAAGACCATTCTAATTATTATACTTTTGGTTGACTTGACTGGTCTTATGCCATAGGTACTCAATCACTTACGATTACTTTTCTTAAATTGAGAATAAGAACATGCCTATGTGTAGATTTCCTACCACTCAGGTCAGACTGGCAAATTCTGTGACTGCTTAAAAGTATATAGGGAACAATTTAAGGTCACTCTAATCACGTTTTAAATAGAGTAATAGTGTCATGCACATTTAATAAATTGCTTGCATTTGAAGTGGGTTAATGATTAGTGTTGAAGGTGAAGAAAAATTCAACCATTTAATAATGTACACATAAACTACTATTTAAAGCTCTGTTGGAGTATAAGAATTAGTAGAAAAATTAAGAAGCCTTCAACAAATTTTCTAGATGTTTGTTCAGGAGGAAAGAACACAAAGGGTTAGTCTCTGATAATTTTTTAAATTATAATTGAGTTGAAAATAGAATTTAACTAGAGTTTGACCAATCAGAATTATAAATTGTATTTTTTCTTGTGTTGATTTTATGATCCAAATGCCACCTCTTTTGCCCAAACAATACCTAACACTAAAAGGTGTTAGACTATATTCTTCTACTATATATATCCTGGGATAGAATCAACATATAATCAGCCCAAATTATATGTAATGGATTTTTTACTTAATTTTCAATTAACTTAAGAATTTTCTAGGTGGACCAATGAACATTGTTTGTCACAGCTGGGAAAAGCAAGGAAACAACCCATTCTTAATGAAAGAGTTTTGCTGACAAATACTCTGAAATCGCATATTTTAAAAAATGTGGGTATGTACTATTTAATCAAATGCAAGATTGCTCTCACATATAAATCTGAAAAAATTGTGGCTGTCCTTTTTGTAAGTGGCATGTTAAGAGCCACCCCAACACAAAATAATCTTCATTTTATGACTTCAGAAAAATGCACTACTGTGAAAAATTTTAGGTAGCTTGTGAATGAAGCTATGAAAGAATTTACTAGAGAGATAATTTTGTTCTCTCACTGATGTTGTCCTATATTCATAATTGTTTAGCTGAAGACAAGCTCAGGGAAACATTGTGACTCCTCAATCTGTCAGAAAATGGGGCAGAAATCCACAAAGGTCTCTCCGTTCTCCTCCCACTCTATACCCTCCCTAAAAGCAGGGTATTGAGACTCCTTGGGGACAGATTGCTCACCCGCCCAGAGACTGCAGCTCCCAGAAAGCTGGGGGTAGGTGACTGCTTCCCACAGTTTCCTCAACAGTGGAAGCCTGGGACATCTTTGTCCTGTCACCTCTCCAAAATGAGTAGCTTTTGTCAAAGGTCTTACATAACCTGGGACATGAAACCAGGGCCTGAGTTCCCGTTGAAACCTCACATGTCTTTTCTTCCACATGATCTGAAGTTCTACATATTTATTAAGAAAGAACTATATCCTTTGGTACTTTTGGATTTTAGCTCCCTTTCTGACTGATATGTATAACTCAAACTTTGCATCTTTCTTTTAAATTGTTATAGGAAATGAAGGTAAGTAACTACAAACATGTCAATACAGAAGGAAATCTGTTCTCCAAAGTGACTAACTTCCCTTATCCCCACCCCCCTTGAACTCCCCTAAGTGGAGGATCATCTGAGTTGCGTTCATGAACACTTTCATTCCTCGGTTTCTTATTTGCTCGGAAGGCTTTTTCATAATCAAGCACTGATTCAGTAAAAGCGGTAAATAGGAGTCTCCATGCAAGAGAAACTGGAGTTTCCTAACATGCACATGATTTAAAAAATAAAATTAAAAAATAAGGTGCCTTGAGATGCTGGCAGTTTGAACATTTGGAACCAAAAGCTCTTATGTATATTTACATCCTAACTGCTCAACTTTACCTTACAAGCTTCAATTTAGGAAAAATATACAGTACTTTTGCATATAATGGTACCTTGTGAGCCCCTGAGTCAAGTAGAGAGGATTTAAATACAAAAAGGAAAACAGCCATTAAAAGCACTTACATTGGATGTGGAGGAAATAGTACAAAATGATTACTTTCCTGGTAGACCAGGATCAGAAACATGCCTATGGAGACCCAAGATCCCTACAGTGCTTAGGGAAGAATCTGGCAGAGATGGGTGTCGGATGGGATGAAGGTAAGTTTTTCGTTGCCGTGGGTGAAGCTCTAAAGACGCATCACTGTCTTGTTTTAAAAGTGAAGTCAAGTTGTCTTCTGAGGCTGTGTTCAGATGTCTTCCGCTTGAGAGGGATTCTTTGGATTTGAGTTTGGATTTTTCAAGGTCTAGAAATTCAGGACACTGATAGAAAGAAGAGAAAATGTGCTTTTATAATTCGTTCCAATAGTTAAATAAATCATATTCACATAATTCGTATGTGTTTGCTCTCCCCATTTATTGTATGTGGTTAACACATACATAATATCTCTATCCTAAAATGGACCCCTAAACTAAGGGGTCTGTTATCTCAAGTAAAGAATTTTAATTTCACCCTGAAGCCAGATTTAAAAGTTCAGGTTTTTTTTTTTTTTAAGTATTCACTTTGAGCTGTGTATGGTTGAGTTTTTTTCTTTTTTTTCTTACTAATAAAATAATTTTAATTTCTTTTAATTAATAACTATTAACAATCAAAATGTGTAGGGGTTGGGAGGAGGGAGGGCAGGGGAATCTGTGGTTGATATGCAAAATGAAGGCTGGATTAAGAAATGACTCTTAGTGACTAGTCTTATCTAAGAAGGAAAGTGATGAAGGAAATAAAATCACCATTCCTATCAGAAATTACTGCCCAAACCAACTGCAAAAAAGAAGACACATAGTTGTATGTATTTCCCATCCACTAAAAACCAGTAAGAGAGGAATTAATGTTTATATTTTAGAAAGATTGTCATTATTTTCCTTTTGACACACTAACTTCTCTTATCAAGTTTCATTTTCTAGAAAATTTTACATCCCATACAGAAATGTACACAAGACTGTCTATATATTCTTACTGAGATGATCTTTCTTAGGTTCAGCTGCCCATGATGCTTAATTAACTGAGAGGGGCACTACTAAAAGGATTAGTCGGGATACGGACACTTCACTTGTCTTGTCTCGCCATGTATATTATCATTCAAGTGATAAAAACTTTGAGATGTCTGCTGGCAAGTAGGGCACAGACGTGTTTGCCAGCCTGACTGCCTTTGAGCCTCAGAGCTAGTCCAGTTAACTGCTATCTCTTTTCTTCTGGAAGACCTATCCTGCCTTGTGGCACTGTAGCAAGTTACAAGCTTTTCTCTGACATTCTTCTTTTTCTTCTATTAGCCAAGAGCGATTCTTTACCATTAAAATCTCTACAGTATGCTAGTTTGCATAGGTTGATTCTTGAGTAATAGCATTTCCTTTGAAATGACTGTTCATGTTCAGGGAAAGGAGCTTTTTCTTACAAGCATGAAGACAGGTTGGATCACTAGCAGCCATATGAAAAGTTGGGTTTTGTGTACTTGTAATGCCAGCATTGGAGAGGCAGGGACAAAAGGGTACCTGGGGATCACTGCCAGCAAGTCTGGCCAAATCGGTGATGTTTGTTCATTGAGAGAGCTATCTTAAGAATAATATACATTGTTATATAATAATATGCCTGTCTCAAAAAATAAGATGAAGAACTATCTAGAAAGAAAACCTAGTGCTTATCTTCAGGCCTCTGCATATCCCCCTCCACACACACAGAGAGACACACACAGACACACACAGACACAGACAGACAGACAGACAGACAGACACACACACACACACACACACACACACACACACAAGCTTGTACACATAAATGATACTGTTTAAAATTTTTCTTTAAATCCGTTGTTCACAACTTTTAAGGACATGTAATGCAAAATCACAGGTCCAGATTACAGAAACCCTGGGCAGAAACAGAGGAGAATAGAAGTCCATATTTTCCACATGTGATTCTTACTCAGGTTATCCTGGAGATACACTCAAAGAGACACCCCAGCTTTACAATATCCACACTCACTTGGGAGGAGGGGCTGAAACTCCGGTCAGTCTTAATGGATGCTCTGGGGTGACTGGTCCTCAGCAGACGGAGGACAGGTCTCTGATACTCGGCTCCTGCAGTCACCATGCTGTAGGCTGGAGGGACCACTGCGGTTTGTTTCTGCAGGAGCTGTAAGATGGTCTGGATGTCCGTGGTCATTTGGGATTCAAGTCTGCAAGACATGCAGGAAGGGGAAAGACAGTCTTAAAGAGTCATGACTTGTAAGGGCATCTGAGAAAGCATCAGCATTGCCAACAAACAGAACGATGAGCTGCCCTGAATGGGAAAGACAAGAGAGTGGCAGAGGGACTCTCCTACCTGATCCTTTCTATTAGAATCAATTACTCTGACTCAGACCATTGATTTCTTATGCAGGAACTAACAGAAAAACAGACAGTATATACTACTTTATTTCTACAAAACTTTATTGATTTTTTTCTTTTTCTTTTTCTTTTTTTTTTTCAAGACAGGGTTTCTCTGTGTAGCTTTGTGCCTTTCCTGGAACTCACCTGGTAGTCCAAAACCAAAACTTTATTGATTTTAAAGTATAAATCACATGTGGAATATTGTGGTCAATAATTATCTAATTTTGCTTAGGTTTTTACTCAACTGTTTGTGAACTGTTTTCCCCCCTTTAAAGAAGAACTCAGTAACATGTTTCTTTTCTTTTTTAAATTTTGTAAAAAAAATTTTAGTGCATTGGTGCTTTGCCTATATGCCTGTCTGTATGAGGGTGTCAGATCACCTAGAAGTGGAGTTACAGCTGTGAGCCACCATGTAGGTGCTGGGAATTGAACCTGTGTACTTTGAGCAGCCAGTGCTTTTAACTGCTGAGCTCCGGTAACATACTTCTTTAAGATTACTACATCTCGGGAAAACTTCTTAAAAAATTTGTATTTTCACTATGTTCTGATGCACAAACGAGAGTTACCTGAAAGGAGGGAATCTCAACTGAGAAAATGTGTACATGACATTGGCTGTAGGGCATTTTCTTAATTAGTAATTGTTGGGGGAGGGGCAAGAGAGTTGTGGATGGTGCCATCCCTGGGCTGGTGGTCATGGGTTCTATAAGAAAGCAGGCTGAGTAAGCTATGGGGAGCAATCCAGTAAGCAACACTCCTCTATGGCCTCTGCATCAGCTCCTGCCTCTAGGTTTCAGCCCTGTTTGAGTTCATTTCCTGACTTCCTTCAATATGGAAGCATAAACTGAATAAACCCTTCCCTCCCCAACTTGCTTTGGTCCTGGGAGCAGGGACATGTCACAGGGATAGACAGTAACCCTGGCTAAGACATACTATTTTATCTTGCCTCTTTCTTCTTCAAAGCAAGTTCTATACATGACTCATCTGTGGTGGTATTGTGTTCCCCAAAATATTGTGCACCCTAATAAACTTATCTGGGGTCAGAGACAGAAAAGCCACAATATTAAACATAGAGGATAGGCAGTGGTAGCACATGCCTTCAATCCAAGCATTTGGGAGGCAGAGCTAGGCAGAAATCCATGTGTTCAAGGATACAGCCAGGCATGGTGACACACGCCTTTAATCCCAGAAAGTGAGCCTTTAATCCCAGAAAGTGAGCCTTTAATCCCAGGGATTGATGGTAGAAAGGAAAGATATATAAGGCGTGAAGACCAGAAACAAGAAGCATTTGGCTGGTTAAGCTTCCAGGCTTTGGAGCAACACAGTTCAGCTGAGATTCATTCTCGATCAGGACTCAGAGGCTTCCAGTCAGAGGAAACAGGACCAGCTGAGGAATTGGCAAGGTGAGATAGCTGTGGCTTGTTCTGGTTCTCTGATCTTCCAGTTCACCCCAATACCTGGCTCAGGTTTGATTTTATTAATAAGAACTTTTAAGATTGATGCTACACTCATCATGCTTTCTTTATTGTTCATTTTATTTTATTTTGTTTAATGTTCAGTGCTGTTAAACGTTAAATACCTTTCCTGTCTGTGGTCCAGAGCTTTGGTATTTAAGAGACCAAGCAAACTTCAAGTTTACTTGGTTCTATGACCCATCTGGCTTGCACAATGTAAAAGTAACCATTGCTTTCTCCAAAGCTCACGAGTTGTCAACCACTCATTTTAAAATAAATTTCAAGAGAATAATCACAAAATACAATTGGTTTGTGCCAGGTCCAAAGGAAACTCCAATTCTCCAAACTCCAAAAGGCTGTCCAAATATCCAGAAAGGAGCTTAACTTGGACTATGGAGGATTTCTGGCAGTTAGACAAAGGCCAGCATTCCTCAACCGCTTGCGAAACCAGTCCCCATCTGCCAAAATGAGTCATTTCCTTTACCTCTGGCAGAAAGAACATGTGGCTCTCCATTGACTATACCTCTAGCACCTATCAGTATATCAAGGTAGCCTCAGGCTCCCTCAGTCCCTACTCACAAGTACTTGTTATATATCTCAAAGTTGATGCTGACATCCTAGGCCTTCTCACCTCCTCCTGTACCCTAAACCCCTTCTGCTGATGGGCCTCTCTCCCCCCAGCTACTCATTCTCCTTATAACTCAGTGATCACTATTCCAGCCTCCTGCTATTTTCACCATACATTCTTTACCCTCTATCTCCTGCTCTTCTCCCCTCTCTTGCAGATGGTCTGGACCTGTCCAGTCTGCTGCTCTGGACTCTGGCTGTTTTCTATCTCAAAGAAACAAAACAAAACCCCCTCCCTTTAACCGTACGATGGAGCATTCATGTCAGCAGTTACTTTACTGTGCTCCCTCACACACATCTGGTGCTGAAACTCTCACCGACAATTTGGGTCCTCAGTGTGGACAGCTTAAGATAAGGGATTTTATGGGTGTAAGAACAAAATTTGGACCATATGCCTTTTTAGAAGGTTTTTGAATTATCGTATTTGTGCTTATGATTTACCAATTGAATTTTTTTTTAAAAGAGAGCAATAAATCTTAGAACTATTTGCCCAGTTAAATACACTTATTTATGGATATTAGCTTTGTTTTTAAAGAAAACAAAAATCTGGGAAACATTAGAAAAGCTATATATTATTTCTAATTTTAGTTTTGAGATAGTATCTTCCTATGTAGGGAGACCAGGCTAGCCAAGCACTTTCTTCTCAAGTCTCTGGAGTTAGTGGAATTACAGGTGTGCCAGACAATAGGTTCTTTTTACCTCTTAATATTAACATTCAAAAGCTGTCTTTTTGAATTATAATGTAGTCTTATAGATTTTCTTCCATTGGTAAATATAACCAGAAAGTGCCTTAGTATTCTTTATACCAATAGCTTATAAAACATGTCTGATTTGTCATATTGTGTCGCAGCTGCACCCTGAAAATGAAAAAATACATCTATCAACTGGTTGATGCCTAAATGCCTTATGTAATTGTGTTACAAATTAAATAGAACAGAATTATTATTTTGTCGTTATGAATCAATTTTTCATCTCATACTTTAAGGTTCAACACAAATTTTTTTCTGCACCAATAATTCTTCCCGCATTTAACTCTTTCAGAACTATTTTGTTATGGGGCAAGACAAGGCAGAGAGAGGTCTTACATTCTTGCTGAGGCCATTTCAGATTTAACTAGAATTTGATCTCCTTGATGGAGACCCCATGGGAAACCACTCAACTCTATTCTAGGAACCCAAGGTCAAGATGTCTTAGCTAACTTAGCCTCTGTTAAACTGCCTGTTTCTGCAAAGCCCTTCCTGCAGCTGCCAGTGAGATGCCAGGATGTGGTTTCCACCTTTAAAAATCTCTATATTCTGGACAGTAGGGGCCACACCTTGGTCTCCCAAACCCTTGGGTGTGGTCCCAGCTGGCTTGAATAAAGACTTTCAGTTGGCTATACACTGAGTCTGAGTGTATCATCTTTGATGAGCTTCCATAACAATCTCTCTCCTCTCCCTAGCCCTGAAATAAAATTCCAATTCAAACATCTTATGAATATCTCTGTACAGATTTGTCCTATCAATGACAACATCTAAGTAGTGAATGGATTACATGATGCTCTTTACTATCGTTGCCAAGATACACTACTGAATGTAAAATGACTTATCTGTGGATACTGGAATAAAAGCTTCATTGACAAGTCAGATTCAAGATGATGATATTTCTGAGTCCTGTAAAGCCTTTGTTAAACAGCAACAGTCTTTGAGGAAAAAAAAAATGTCTTTAAAACAGATTCCATTTAAATAATGTGTATGTCAGACACATTCACAGGAAAGTAGGGCTCCAGCAGCTATACTCCCGATAATGCAGTCTGCTGCTGTAAGTGGGACTTCTCACATGAGAACATCATGAAAAGTCAAGTGGCCGGTGTAGAGTGAGACTGGACACCATCTGTGCTAACACTACTCACATAAGACTAAGGACTTTCTCTATCAACTTGACTTAGTTGTTTGTTGCAAGGAAATTTTGCATAAGAAAAATGAGACTAGGTTAAGAGCTAGGTTTATCAGCACAGGAATAGCTACAAATCAGCTCATCGGAACAGCTTCCTAATCAAACTTCACCAAGTCTTGCTAAGTCTCGCTTCTCTTTTCCCGTAAATTCCAAAGTATTATGTCATGAATTTTGCACAATTGTATAGTTTTTTAATTTTACGGTTTGGGTATAAATGGTATTTTCAAAAGGCTTATATGTTGAAGGATTAGTCTCAGGCAGGTTAATCGAGTCAGGGAGACATGACTGGATCACAAGGAATCCAACCTAATCACTGCATTAACCCATGGATAGATTTGGAATTTGAAGGCATTATTGGGAAGCAATGGAAACCTTCATAGTTGGGGCTAAGTTGGAGGAAGTGCCTCACTGAGAGTGTATCCGTGGGGGATGGATCTTACTCTAGACACCTTCCTGTTATCTCTGTGTTTCCTGGGTGCCATGAGACAAGCTGTGCCCACCAGGTTTTCCTGCCATCATGTCCTTCATCACCACAGAAGACAACGTCTGAAACCGTGAGCTGATGTAAAACTTGCCTCCTTTGAAATCGCTCCTCTAGCATATTTATCACAGTCTGGAAAAGTCAGCACAGTTCCCTTTTGTGAAGGCCCAGACTCCAAAGTCCTATAAACATTGTACTTCATAGTGCCCTTTCTGAGATGTTCCTCAGTCTCCTTTCCTATATTATTTTAACACTTTACAAAATTATTATTTTACTTTGTGATTATAATATAATTACATCATTTTGCCTTGCT